AGAATGATAGACACACACATAGCAATTACTATTTTAGACTTTCTAGAAGAAGCAGAAAAACCCACAGAACTAAGAATTATCCTTGTACTGAAGGAAAACCACTGCCAGTTGTTAATGTGTGTGGCCAGTGCTTTTTCACATGCTTGTGCTGTTTGCTGTCATCCTGGAGTCGTGCTCCAGTGTTGAGGGTTCTGAGGCACATGCATGTACAAACACACACATACATACTTTGTTGTGCTTCTTTAAAAAGTTAGGATACGCACTTCAATGACCAGATAACCTTGCATGAGTATGTTTTTAAGACTAAGCTGAAAGTTCAAAACTTCCTCTTACAGTTAATCTGTAGTTATTTTTTTCAAGAACCATCATCTGTAAGTCAGAGGGAAAGGTCAGACGAAGTTAACCCTGACAGCACCTGGATCTCAGGTTCCCAGCAGTTCTGAAACAAATTAAGATCATTTTTTGTTTTAAAGCTGAATTATTTTTAATGAGCATTATGTAAAGCTACCTTGCTGAAAATCTTTACATTTAATTGGTTATTCAATCAACAAACTCTTAAGATTTGCATAGAGGTTCTACCAAAACACACTTAATATTTGAGATATTATCAACACAAGTCATGGAAGACTTTGGTAGTATACATATCTTTAAAATGAAGCAGCACATTAAGAATACTAGAAAATTAAGTTGGAAATATCCATTTAATTGAGACAACATTAATGATTCTGGAAACGGTGTGTCAGTTATTTAAAACCTGGCCCCTTTGAAAACTGGATGACATATTAATATGAAAGAAAGCTTTTTCAGTTTTAAGGAAAATAAGAATAAATACTTTTCAGCATCTGGTGTAAGGCAGTATTAGCCATGACAAGCTATAATAGAAAATATCTGTTATATATTTGAGAACATGAATTTTCACCTGAGCTTTATTGGTAACATGACAATTTGGACTAGGGACAACGCCCAGAATAAGGTAATTTCAAGACAGAGATCAGCATATGATTTGCTTTAGTAAATTATCTTGTTCTTTCGGTTACAGGGGCTTTCATAATTCCAAAATTGAGACTTCTCATTTCTTACATCTGACAGGAAAATGCATCACTTATTTACCTATTTTTTAAAAAAATTTTAAAATTATTCATTTGATACAGGATCTTGTAACACAGCGCAGACTAGTAAGGGTCCTGCTGTCTTAGCCTCCCAGGCGCTGGGATTACAGGCATGCACCACCACACCTGGTCTCAGTGGCTGGCTCAGGAGGCCCAGGGGCAGGGCTGGCATGGCATGTTGAGCCCCAGTCCCTGTGCTCAGCTGAGCTATCATGCTGGCCCTGCAAAAACTCTTTCAATGTTCATCTTCTGAAAGTGCTCAGAGGCAAATGAAATTTGGTAATTTAGTAAATTTGGATAATTTAGTAAATTAGTAAATTATCTTAACTCCCTAACTGCATTTATGTTTGATATATCAAATAGTTCTCATATGTGTAAACTTGTGATCTTGAAGAAAAGCACCCATCTAAGTGCATCTCAGTCTCATCTGAATCTGATGAGTTAGGTTTTACCTAATCCAACCTGTTGTTCTTATGCTTTCCTCTAGCTGTTGTTCTCACTTATTTAAAAAAATAAAACTTGTTTTTTCCTAAACATCCTTTACATAGTCAGTGGCTTACTAATCTTTCAATAGACCTGCTCAAGCAATAATATATTTGATACTAGTCATAGGCTGACATTTTGGGCTATTATTTGTATGTGCAAGGAAAGGAAATGATCATTTAATTGAAAAAAAGTGCGATGACTTTATGTCCCTTTGTATGTTATGTAATATGCCACTTAAACCAAAGAAGCTGGTATTTTAAATATAATAACATTCTCACTTTCTAACATTTTGAGACATCAGTGTCTCACAAATGTTAGTCAATGGATCTATGTCATATTATTGTCTGCCTTAGCTAATAAACTGATTTAAAGAGTCATGGTTTATCGGTTTTAACAAACTTATATAAGGAGTCATTCTTTTCTTTTATCATGAACTCACAAGCTCTCTTGAGCCTTATCTTCCATAGAAATCACCTACTGCTCATAAAGTGCTTATTGAAAAGAGGGGCAAGCCAGTGTGGTGGGGCACATCTGTAATTCCAGTACTTGGGAAGCTGAAGCAGGAGAGTCTATAAATTTGAGATCAGCCTGGGCCACACGATAAGCTTAGGGCTAGCCTGAACTGCATAGTGAAACTCTGTCTCAAAAACATGAAAACAAAGCAAAAACAAACAAAAATCACAGGTCAAACACACGTGCAAACATTATGCAATACATGTTTAGGGCACAAAAAGAGCTTACAGTATGAAACATCTAATCATGGCTTTACACAGAGAAATTGTATCCCTAAACAAAGGTAAACATAACAGTTGATTACTTCCAGGAATCATTTTTTAATTAATTTTATTGAGAAACAAATAGCAATAAGACAGTTTCAAAACAGGTCAGTAGATATAGACCCAGAGCGCAGGCCTGGTGAGTGAGCGAGAAGACCTGGGGCCGAGGGATCCTGAATAGACCCAGAGCATAGGCCCAGCGAACTGCAGGCCCAGTACGGAATCCTTCAGCAGAACTCCCTGCAAAGAGGCTAGAGGCAAGACCTACCCAGCTGATTTAGGAGCAGAGCATCTTGCCAGAGAGACACAAAGGGTTCAACTCTAACGCCTGCAGCAGAAAGAAGTGGAGCACAACAGCAAGATCCAAACAACACTCACCTGGAGGAATCTGAACTTCATAGATCCAGACCTGGTGCTAAGGTAATAACTCTAAGCTCTACACCAAAGGTCAGAAGACAGTGGTATACAAAATGACAAAGTGAAGGAACAAAATGC